CCTACGACAACTTGTTTAGATTTAAAAATTCGTCAAAGTTTGCAAAAATTACTATCGTTTTTTGGCGTTTGTCAAAATTAGACCTTTCATCGAAGTTTGCTCAAAAACGCCTGAACCGATTTCAGAAATTTAAAAGTCATTCGATGTATCTCAATGAGGACAATTGTTTGTCAGTTTTGTGCAACGATCTGCCGAGCCGTTTCTTTGTAATTTGGCGAAGGCAGGCCCAGCAGTTATGAAGATACTGAGTTAATTGTGCAAAAAATTGCAGTTTTTGAGAGAATTAAACATCCGATTTGAATGATTCAAAAAACTTTCTGCTTGTTCTGACAAAATATTTGCTTTTGGGAAAAAAAATTCATTTCAAAATTCTTTTTTAATTTTTTTTTGTATATCGAAAATATTTCATATTTTTATTTTAATTTGGCTAAAGTTCTAAAGCTCACTTATATACTTTAAATAAATAATTTCAACTTTGCAATTCAGTTTATATAATTCTTATAACTATTAGACAATGTTACAGTATTTGTTTATAATAATCTATTTGAAAACATTTAATATTCCTCGAACATTTCGTTACGGTACGGGAAGTTCCAGCAATTTGCCTTAAGGCACGATGCCATACACCACTAATTGTAATTAAGTTCTAATTGTTTTTAACATTGTAGTTAGTTCTTTTGTCGAACATTTTAAAATTCATTTTTAGCAATTCGCATTTATGAATGTAAATTTTATTCTCAGATTCTTAGCGTTTCAACGCTGTTCAGTATTAGTCTTTTTTAGCTTTACAAACTTTACAAAATTTTGTTGTGACTAAACTTCCTGTCCAATTGTTCATACAATGTAGATATGTTGAAGACATTCTTTTGTGTTTGGATAACAATTATATTATTGACACTTTAAATTCCTCTAATAAACATTTGCATTTTATTTGCGAGCTTGAGGTTGATTCTCCATTTGTTTTTTAGGCGTTGAAATAATAAGAAATGACACCAAATTAGTCAATGATTGGTATCAGAATCCAACTTCTTCAGATAGATTTTTTTTCATTCTCGTTTAGTTAAAATTACTTGTTTCGTTGATTAATAGAGTCATTTTATTAAATTATAAGACTTTCTGCATTGAAAATTTAGATTCCTTTCAATTCTCGCTAACAATTCTTATCCTTCACATTTAGTCAATAATATAATTAAAATTATTTTACATCATTTACAAATTGCTATCTAATTGCTAAAATAATTTTCTCTCTATTTTAAATAAATTTCTTACCTGTTCAAATGGTATTTAACATTTCTTAATAAATACAACTGCACTTAAGGTACCGTACCGTATTTTTCTTAATTTTTGAAATACTCGTCTTTTGCAGTTGTGATTATATTTTTACAGACATAAAATTAGTATTTTTGATGTATATGTATTTACAAGTGAAAATGGATATCAATCCTGCTTGATATCAGGTTAACCGCAACGTATATTTGGAATCTGGAATGTTGAGATTGCACCCTAAAATTGCTTGATAAAAGGGAACCGAACTAAATTAAAACAATTCACATAATATTACACATATAGATATACAGTACTTAATAATGCTTCGACAAAATATTAATAATGTCTCAGTTAAGCATTTTATAATTAGATTTCCATTTTAATATATATCGAAAATTTTACAAACACAATTTGAATGTTTAAATAAGTGTTAATCAAAATATCATTAAATAATAATACTTAATATAAACTCAAATAATTTATTTTAACTCTTTATTTAACATCTTTGTCATTTTTACTTTAGGTAAATTGCATGAAATTATTTGTATTTCTAAAAATAATTGAGTTAATAAATAAGAATTGAAATACTTTTGAACTTGACCGACCTTCACCAAAAATTAATTTACACAATCGTCAACTGATAGTCTTCAAATAGACATTTAATTTTTTAATTCGGATTATAATTTACTGATACAATTTGATTAGTGGTGCATGGCATTGTGCCTTAAGGCAAATTGCAGGAAATTCCCGTACCGTAGTTTAAAATTATTAAGAGCTACAAAATTAATTGAAAACTGAAAAAAATATAATTTCGAAACTTTTGAAAAAAAAAACAACTTTTTTTAGAGTTTTGAATGTTTTAGAAAGTAATAAAATTGTTGAAAAAATCGACTTCTTTGAAAAAACAGTTTTTTTTTCAAATTTTGTATCTAAAATGTGAAGTCGATTGATTCAAACTGCCGAAAATGTCGAAGACATTTGTTTGAACTATATAAGTCAACTTTAAACATTATAAATTTGATACGGAGCCCGTAGGAATGAAAACAAATATTTTAAAACCTTAGTATTTAAAATCTCTATAAAATATCTGACATTTTGATGCGTTTGATCAGTTTTGACCGCCAATTGCTATTTTTTTTAACTTTTATTTTTGGATATATATATATATATATATATATATATATATCCTTTAAATTTAAACATTTTTTTCTGAATGCTCTTTTGGAAAAAAACGATATAACAATCTTCAACTCATACTCTTCTTTTATCTATGCTTAAACTTTTTGCCTCGTCATTTGTCCTGAAATTATTAGAAATATCAAGTAGATGATTTAACTAGATGAAAATATGCGAATGCATCTCCTCTTTTCAAGCTCAGATTTTATCATAACTATAATAAATATTGAGAAGTTTTAGTGGACTACATTATTGCGCTTGAAAAAGTTAAAATGTTTTTTAGTTTCATGTGGCAAGTACGGGAACTCGATTAAATTTTAATTAGAGTCATTCGAAGGCCCGTAGATTTTTTTTCGATTACCCAAATTATTGTTGAAATCTATTTTGTAGAGTACTATATTGAGAAAATTTAAGCGAATACCACCTCGCTTCTTACAAGAATGCGTCGCCCAATGACGGATCCAGGGGGAGGGTCACTGAGGTCATTATTTATAAGTATACCTAGTCGCTGTAGAGCGTAGAGTATTACAATGTGAGAGACTATTGTAAATTATTCAATTTTGTACAAATTTTCCAAACAAATGGGTTATTTTCGACAAATGGTTTAAATATTACACAATAATGAAAAATGAACACGAGCTTAATGTATGCACGGATTATTTTCTATAATCAGTTAATTCAATTTTTAATTCATTTTTATAATTAAACCACTTGTGGTAGGCTTCTAATATTTTAGTATATTCACTTACAATTAGACCAGAAACTATCGCCATGCAAACTCTTATTAAAATCACCAACTAATGATGCAAAGCATTATGCCTTAAGTTAAATTGCTGGAACTTTCCGTACTAAAAATTATTTTTTTAAAAAAATATCAACATTTTTGAAAAAAAAAAATACTTTGAAAAATTTAGATTTTTGAGAAACTTTAAATTTTTGACAAAAATTTACATTTTTGGTAAAAAAAGATTTTTTGGAGAAAATGTTTTTTTTATTTGGAAATATTTTGGAAATTCTGAACATTTTTTTCAAAGCAATCGTAAGCGCCGCGTCGCCGTCTAATGGACAAACGATGTTACGGAACCTATGTAAATGTAAATACAATTTTTACGTATTATTAAAATCTCCATAAAATATCTGATAATTTGATGTGCCTATGTCTAATGATCATTTTTGACCGCCAAATGGCATTTTTATTAATTTTTTTTACTAGATCTCCGAAAAAGCTAGACTTGCCTTTCCGAAAATTTAATCAGTTTTTCATCTTGTCAAAACAAGTAAAACGTTTTTTAAATTATTAAAATCGGACGTTCCGTTCTCTTAAAAACTGAGTTACCGTTTGTGACACTTTTTACCCCGTATCTTTGAAACGGCTAGACCTGCCTATGCCAAAAACTAATCAGCACTTTTCCTTATCAATACTTAACAGCAATCGAATGTTTTTTTTTTTGAATAATTGAAATCGGTTGATCCGTGTTCCCGAAATCGTCGACGAAAATTTGTATCCGCACACACACGCACACACACACATTCATCTATTTTTCATTTTTATTTTCGATTCTTTTTCGATTACTATAACTTACACTACGGAAAGTTAATTGCCCTACGGAAAGTTAAGAACAACTTTTGACAATCATTTTGAGACCATGGTCATCATTATCATGAAAAATTTCATAAAAACAATTAATTATAGAAAAAGGCTTTATACCAGTCGATCTCTTAGAAATTAATCAGCACGATTCCCAACTGAAAGCTTTCGAACAGATTTTGAATTTTAAAATTGGTTCAGTATTTTTGGCTAAAACAGCCGATCGTCAAGGGTTGAAATCGGTTCAGGGTGTTTGAGAAAACGTCAAAAATCTCACACACACAATGACATACCTTTTCCAAATTTGGTCTCACGCGAATCTGAATGACTTGAAGCGTCGAAAAAACTAAATATTAGAAATTCAGACTTTCCAAAGTAACTCTCGTCGGATTTGTAATAAGATAAGATAAGATTTGTAATAGGATAATATTTGGATAGTTACAGTCAAGGTGCAGATTATACACCATTGTAATAGCTGATAAAATAAATAAAATTAAGTCTACGCGTAATCGTTTCAGTCTTTAGAATTTGCACTCTCTAATCTTATCTAATCGATAGTATAATAATGTAAATAACAAACGTTGCAAAATTTAGTAAATGCTTAAGAGAAAAAAATATCTAAATCTAAATATTTTTATATGATATTATAAATTAATACATGTTATATATATATATATATATATATATATATATATCTATTGAAGTTAAATATAAATTTATAAATAAGTCAAATACCAGGATAGCGCCTGGTAGCGCCCATTTTTTATAAAAATTGAACTGAGCGCCATCCTGCGATTAATGTACACACCAGGTCAATAACATGTCAAATTCGCGGTGTTTTTTTATATAGAACCTCATTTGATATCTTAAAATTGTGTCACATTGCACAAATGTTTTTTTTATTTTAACGTTATCTTAGAGTTATCTATTGTTTAATTTGTGAAAGTTGATGGTTATATTTATTTTACAGATTTTACAAAACGATTGTTGATAAAACTGCAGCCATGGTGTATGAAGATGTATGTATCCACATGTTATAATATATTGCATATTATTAATTAAATTATATTTTTTGTAGATAATAGAAAATGCTCGCGCAGCTTTTAATAGTGGTAAAACTAGACCTCTAAAATTTCGAATGAACCAACTTAAACAATTGCTCAAATTGTATGAAGAAAACACTAACGAAATGTTTGATGCATTAGCAAAAGATTTAAGAAAACACAAACAGGAATCAACAATTTTAGAAGTGGAGTATCTAAAAAATGACTTGAAGAACACAATATATAATTTGGAGGATTGGATACAGCCTATAAAGGTTTTTACAAGCATTTTTAAATTGCATGTTTAGCGTAACTGCAGCTTGAGATCTTTTTTTTTGTATGACACAAATATTATGTATTATTAAATACACGATAGGGATAGCCATATTGATTGAATTTATTGACTTTCTCTTAATTTTTAAAGAACTTGGGATTGATCATCATTGTTTAAGTTTGCTGAGTTCATAATTTTTAATAACAATTTCTATTTGTCGCATTATTTTATTATCTAGATTAAGATGGTAATTATGATATCCTTATTTATAATACCATATAAGTTGTCTTTGTTGGATAAATTAAAATTTTTGACATATGTTTCAAACACATTCCAAAATTAAACATATAAGATCTGTACGTATATAGTATGTATAGTATTTACTGTTATTATTATATTATGAATTCTTAATGTTGTATTTAAGGTTGTCCCAAATTCAGTTATCAAACAGTGCACGTCATTAAATTCAATGTGGTTCTTGAAGTATGGCTTTTTCAAAATGTGTTAATAAAATGTGAAATATATATATATATATATATATATATATATATATATATATATATATATTATTATTTATATATTTTATTTCAAATTCAATAGCCAGAAAAAGGGTTAATTAATGCTTTGGATGGAGTATACATCTATAAAGATCCATATGGCGTTGCTTTAGTTATTGGAGCATGGAACTATCCACTGCAATTGACGTTGGTACCTGTTGCTGCTGCCATTGCTGCTGGAAATTGTGTTATAATAAAACCAAGTGAAATTGCTCCTGCTACAGCAAAGTTTATAGCTGATATGATTCCTAAATATTTGGATAACGTAAGAATTTTTTTAGATAATTTATTGTGAAGGTTGAGTAGCCAATGGTTGCAATAGTCTCAAGAAACTCTGAGCAGTAAAAATGCATGCTTTGTAATTAAGTTTGATATGATACTCTTATGACAACTTTTCTGACTTCATAACCTTTTTTCTAAGCACTAGTTGGTATTGTGTTTATCTCACCTAGCTATCAATGCATTATTTCTATCTATCCTTGCGTTATTAATGTTTTAGGATTTCATATTTTTGAGAACAGAAAAATGGCACAGTGTGCTAAATCTAGTGAATATAAGGTCTAAAACAGTGATTCCCAAACTTATTTCACCTACCGCCCCCTTTTCAGAAAAAATGTTACTCAGCGCCCCCCTTACAAACTTTCCGAAAGAGAAGTTTGTTTTCATCAAAAAATCCGACTCGCTAATTTTATGTTTTCTCGACGTTTCAAGCCATTCTGAATCGAATGAGACCAACATTTGGAAAAAGTATGTGTGTGTAGTTGTGTGTGCGTGAACAGATTTTTTGCCGTAAATCGACGTGCCAAAAACGACTGGACCGATTTCAAAAATCTAATAGCCATTCGATGTATCTCGATGAGGACTATTGTTTGTCAGTTTTGTGCGACGATCGGCCAAGCCGCTTCTTTATAAATAGCAGAAAAGTGAAAAAAATTTTGTCCACGTTTTAGCCCGCAATTCTGAATCCATTTTGAAAATTCAAAACCCGTTTGAAAGATAATTGGTTGGGAATCGACCTGATTAGTTTTTGGTAATGATCGGCCGGGCCGTTTTCTTGTAATAAAGTGTTTTTATTAATATAAGTAGTAGTAATTAATAAGTAGTAGTAATTTTTTAGACAATTTTTATGTTTTCTTTGACAGTCTACCACAGTCTTATAGACCTGTGTCTATGACACGGGTCCTACGACAAGTCGTTAAATTTGAAAATTCGTCAAAGTTTGCAAAAATTAGTATCGTTTTTATGGCGTTTGTCAAAATTAGAACTTTCAACGATGTTTGCTTAAAATTTAGAAGCCAATCGAGGTATTTCGATTATAATTTTAATGTGAGGGAAAAGGAATGACGGGGGATGCGCTTGTACCTACGGTAAACTTGTTTGCAAAAAGTAATAAAGAAAGTCGCGTTAAAATTCAAGCAATAGTGGATTTAGACTCAGAAATTAATACCATATCAAAATCGCTATTCCAAAAATTACGCGTTAAATCTCAATCCAGAAGCCTTAAGCTCCACGGTGTTGTTGGAATTTCAACGAAATCGAATAATTTTACAAATTTAGAAATATTTAATGAAGATGGTACATTTGCAAAAAATAAAAAAATATAAATGCCTTTGTGCTTACGAAAATATCGAGTCTACTACCCGCGCAGCAAATCCAAATTGCTGAACTAAATCTTCCTAATGTATTAAAACTTTTAGATTCACACTTAATTATTCCGCGCGAAGTAGATATGTTGATAGGTGCTGATACGTTTTTTGAAATTTTATGTAACGAAAGAATTATACTAGGCCCCGATAAATCTGTTTTACAAAAACCGACATTCGGGTGGACAGTTACGGGTAGATATCAAAGAAATATAATTAATAGCACGACAAATAATGATCATATATCCGCCAATCTTACAGATTCTCTTACAAAAAATCAAAGAATCCCTTACAAAATTTGTAAGGGATTGTTGTTTACACAAATTATCGTCATACAAAGAAACATATGAACCATTCTTTTCATTAAACCTTTTGCGAAACAAGAATTGGCGGTGCATAGTTTTAAAACTGATTTACTTACTAATACACCTATTCAGATATGTTTGAATAACTTCAACTAAAATATTATCTTTATATAATTCAGTGTTAATTTTAATCATTTATTTATATATAATATTAATATCATAATATTTTTTTAGTTTTATGCTTTAAACGCCCCTTACAACTAAGCATCGCCCCCTAAATACACCAAAGCCCATCACCGCCCCCCAGAATCGCCGCAGCGCCCCCAAGGGGGCGCTGGCGCCCACTTTGGGAATCACTGGTCTAAAATGAGATTATCTCATTGTGCTTGCTTTGAAACCTTTCCATTAGCAGATACATTATTATGATGCTAAAGTAATGATGTGTTTTTCTATCATTTTCAATGTATTTTTATTGTATTGTTTCTTAAATTGCTAATTTCAAAATTATACTTTTTTTTTATTCACCATGCATATTACAAATATCTTAGTTTCTAATAAATTTTGTACATATTATGAAAAACATGAAGATGCAATGTATTTAATTCCGAAACGACGGTAAATAATTAATTTAAAATTTTATAGGATTGCTATCAAGTAGTCCTTGGAGGTGTGCCAGAAACTACAGAGTTATTAAAACAAAGATTTGATTATATATTTTTCACTGGATCTACAAGTGTTGGACGAATTGTTCATGCTGCTGCAAATAAATATTTAACTCCAGTGACTTTAGAACTGGGTGGAAAGAGGTATGATTTTTTTCCGTATAAATATTTTGAAGAAACATAGCAAATTATTGTTATTTCAGTCCTGTATATTTGGATAATACAGCCGATATTGAAATTGCAACAAGAAGAATTTTGTGGGGTAAATGTATCAATGCCGGACAGACATGTATCGCACCAGATTATTTACTATGCTCTAAAGAAGTAGAAGAACGGTTTTTAAATTGTGCCAAACAAGTTTTCAAAGAATGGTATGGAGATGATGTTAGTGCAAGTCCAGATTTATGCCGAATTATTACTGATAGACATTTCCAGTGAGTATTATTTTTTTTTGTCATATTATTTTAACTAAATGAGAATTTAAATTATTATTAATTTTTTTAGGCGCTTAAGTGATTTCTTGCAAAACAATGGTAAAATTGCAATTGGAGGTAATACAGATCCCAGTCAAAAGTATATTCAACCTACTATTCTTGTGAATGTGAAACCGACTGATCCTATAATGCAAGAAGAAATATTTGGGCCAATTTTGCCAATCATAAATGTAGAGAATGCGTATGATGCTATAAAATTTATAAATGATCGGTATGTTGTTTCTAAATTCCATATAAAATATATTTTTTTTTTTCAATAATATCATCTGCAATAAGTGTTCTGTTTAAACACGCTGTTTAAGAGACATATCCATTCAGCACTTATAATATAAGCATATTGTTATTTTTTATTTATACATTTTCACACATTTTGAACAAACGATTTTAAAAAATATTTTTAACTTGAAAGATTACCATGGCTGTAACAATATCTAAGATGAATTTTTATTTCAATGATATGTGTATTTTCAAAATTTTATTTTATTTTTTAATTATTTTTATTTTCATTTTATCAATTCATTTATTTTAAATTTCATTTCATCCAGTTCATCGCCACTTGTAATGTATTTGTTTACGGCTCAAAAAGATGTGCGGCAATTATTTGTTTCCAGTACGAGGTCAGGAGGCGTCTGTGTTAATGATACGATTATGCATTATGCTGGTGAGAAAAGGGTGCAGGTTAAAAATATGTGGTTGCGGTTTTATAAAAATAATTCTTTCTGTGATATTTTTTTATCAAAATTAGCAAGTATTTTTCAACTAATGGTGGGTTGCGGGCATTAATTTTTTTAAATGGCAAGTAGTATTGTTATACAAAAATACTTAAAAGTATTTATCTTGAAAATCATAGTGAATTAACAAACACTTTCATTATACAGTTAGCATATATATGCTGATGATTTTATAAATTTATTGAAGTTTAAGTGTTGTTCAGATAATTTTTTAATATAGAAATCAAGTAAAAAGTATGTGTTACAACTTAGGCTTGAAATTACGATTTTATTTCTGAGAAACAATCACAGGCTTTTTGTTTCATCTTAATTGTATGTTTTGTTAATATTATTGTTAGTGTGATGATTGGTTGAGTGTTTGTTCAATATCAGCAGATAGTGTTCCATGTTTCTTAAATAGAGGAACCGATCTTATTTGAAATAGTTTCGAAAAATTTTCAGTTGAGATACAGATTGATTAGTTATTTGTGTCATGTTTCAAATTGTTCTAGTTTAAAGTATATTTGGATAGGTGTGGGGTTTATATATAATTTATTGATAAATGATTTGCATTTGCATGTGTTTTTAATATTCATCAGATATGAATTTGAGTTAGTTACCAATTCGTATTTGACTACATATTTGACATATTTTAATCTAACACATTGTTTTATTATCTATACAAAACTTATCCAAAAATAACAATAACAAACTATTTGTCTTAGTATGATTTAAACATTCATTCAACATTCTATGTGAAATTATTTTAAGTTTGGACTATTTTGTGAATATTTTGGAAAAGTTTTGATCAAAACATTTAAACATTATTTTGCCCTCATTGTAATTATTGGTTTCGATATGTTACTAAAACAATTAATTAGGATTACTTTCAAATGATGTTACTTAGTACTATATTATAGTAACAAATTCCAAATATAGGTATTTATCTAGCGCAAACTGTTTTCTGCTGAGCTTTTTAAAACTTTTAGAATTTCTGACATGCAAGGGACATGAAGGCTCCTTTTTTATGGACTTGTGATTAATAAATAAAAATCTTCTTAAATTATATTATTTTCATAGTTTTAACAAAAAAACAAATTCAAAAATACATTCAAAATATGTCTTTGCAAATTTTAGGATAATCAATTCATATAGTTGTTTGACATTAACTATCATCTTAAAGTTTTTGTAATTGCGAAAAAGTTGGAAAGTTAACATATTAAAACTATTGACATATCTTATAAAATGATATACAAGGATTTCGCTTCCATTTAAATTAACACCAAGAAAGCGAATTGAACTCTTGCGTTTTTGCAGTGATATTGAAAATCATATGATTTTCAGAACCAAAATTACTTGTTATTTTGATTAAAAATTTCAGTATTTTCAGTTTAAGTTCATAATAATAATTTTAGAAGAAAAAATTTTTTTATTCTGGTAAGAATTTATATATTGATTTAGAATTTTTTTTTAAGTAACTTAACACAACTGAGTTTACACACACTTCGAAATGATTTAAATGTATATTGGATTTTTTTTTTTGACTATGTAATATTAATACAAAATATGGTTATCTATCTCTGCCATGCAGTAAATATCATATTTTGTTTTTCTATTTTATTTTATAACTTGCTTTGGTCTTAGGGAGAAACCTTTGGCGCTCTACATATTTAGTGATAACAAGGCTGATACTAATTTGATTCTCAATAACACGTCCAGTGGAGGAGCATGTGTTAACGAAACTATAATGCATTTAGGAGGTGGGATTTTTTTAATATAATCTTTATCGTCTTGCTTAATATGTCAATTATTGTGAATTCAACGCGTATAAAAAGAAAGATTAATTTAATTGTTTCTATCATTTATATTTTGTATGCTAAAAATAATTTGTATTATAGTTGAAACTTTACCTTTTGGCGGTGTTGGTCAAAGTGGTATGGGAGCATACCATGGGGAACACAGTTTTAACACATTCGTGCACATGAAGAGCTGTTTAGTTAAAGATTATAATAAAATAGCAGAATCTTTAGCATCGTAAGTACATCTATTATAGATATAAAAATGTTATATAATTACATGAAACCTAATTAAATCAACTTAAAAAACTAAACACTTAAAAATTTATTTTTAGTAATTTTTTTGAGTGAAGAACTTTTTTTACCAGTGTGACTATAAAATCTTAATTATATTCCTAGCTCATCATTACATTGTTTAAATTTTCAGTGGCCGTTATCCCCCGTACTCCGATAAGAAGACAAGTTTTGTTGCAGCGCTGATGCGTAAAAGACGAAGCTTATCTCTTACATATTTACCGCACGTGCTTATGTTTATATTGGGCTTAGGATCAGTTTATGCTTTTCGCGCTCTTGCGAAGGTAAATACATAATTATTTATTACGTGACAATTAATGATGCGATATTTCTATGTTATTTGAACATTTATTCTAAAAGTTCTCATATTATTGAACACTAATGAACATCAATGTGAGTCTTTTAATAAATCTTCCATACATGATCAATAATTGCAAATATTGAATTGTATTTGGTTGGTGTGTGGACGACTGATTATCCTTGGATATTTCGAGTTTGTATCTAGGGCATTGACAACACACTTCTTGTTTATTGATATTTTTTTCATTTAATAATAATTTACAAGTTGTTTTCGCTGATCACAACCCAAAAGTCCAGTCGACGATTGCACTAATAATAATGCCGTCGATGCGCATTGCAGAGGTTTTATAATCGTTCGAGTAAAGGTACCCGTCAGAGTAATTGATTAATCTGTTTATTTATTAAGAGGCCTACAAAATAATACGTTCAAATTCAATTATATTTAGAATGTCAGGATAATGGTAATTTAAAGAATAATTATGTAAGAAATGTGTTATTTTCTACATTTTTATTTCTGTTGTTGGTTTCATATATCATTTGTCATACTTGCCAAACTCTGCCCTCAAAACAAAACGACTATTTTAAAAACTTATAACTGGTTCTGTGTTTCAATATTTTGATAAATTTGAAATTTTTTGAATGGGGTATTTCAAAATTGCAATGTGTATTAAACTTTTTTTTCTTTAAGAGTGGTGTACTAAAATTTTGATTATATATATTATTAAAAAATTAATTTTTTAATTTATATTTTGCTATATATATATATATATAATTTGTTAATTAGTTAAAATTGTTTAATATCATTGTTGTATGCATGGTTGCATACAACAATGCGTATATTAGTACCAATGGCACTCAATTATGGTTTAGCAAAATGCTAAATCGGACGATCAAGTTTTATCAATTTTTCTCCAGACCATGTATAAGTGTATATATGATTATCACTGCAAAACATATACTTAATTCAAAATCTATCATTGATTTTTCAGATTACTGCTACATGGATGCCGATTATTGATGTATGGATACCATCAATGAAAAATATCAATACATAGTAAAGTATTCTTCAGTTCCCAAGTATCATATTTTTGTGATTATATTTTTTTAGTATTATCAAATTTAATAAATTATCTATCAAACTATTTTTAAGCCTTCTATTTTTCTATGATTTTTGAATAGTTAAAAACGTATTTGTTTTTTCTGCTTAATCATGTAATAATCTTATTTAATATGCTTTCAATATAAATTCTTCGAAATATAAATGTATATTTTTGGATTTAGTTTTTAACAGTTTCTTAAGGTGAAGAGATTTAATATAACACCATAAAAAAATTATCAACATAATAGATCGATTCTCTTATTTTGAAAGTTAAATTTGCACTTCCAAACATTGTAAAAATTGTCATCTTGAATCATCTGGTTTTCAGTACCTTTATACCTTTCCTTAAATGAAACATTGCATTCATAATTGATCTTGAAATGACGTGAATATATTATGCCAGATGTCAGTTTATCATTGTATGTTTATACATTGTGTCAATATTATAATGAAAATAATTTTTTTTAGTAATTTCAGACTAAAGTATACTTATCTTTTCATATGCTAAGGTAAATGAAGCCGATAATATAGCAAGTATAATTACTTTCGTATAAGTCTATTCAAACTTTCAACTGTGATTGTATGAAAAGAGTCTAATTTGACATACTTCCTTGAAGTGTAGAACTACTTTAAGGATATTTGAATTATCTACAACTCGTGCCTCACTTTATTTTGGTACTTCTCCGCTCTTGTCTTTTTAGTGCTGGTAAGAACGTCAGTAAATTTTCATGGGGTTTGTATAGATGCGTAATTGTACCAATGCGTATATATAGCAATAATTTCTTAAATTCTCGAATTTTATCAAGAATTGCCGCTCAACATTCAATGCATGAGTTGTCCAGATGAAGCCAAAGCCGCCATTACATACAACAAACTTCATGAAATTTTGTCTTTTTTAAATATTTTCAAAAATTATACAAATAAATCGATATTTTTAATTTATAAAGTCAAGTATATACAATTCTTGAAATTTTTTTAGTGTTTTTATATATTTCAACATAACTTTGTTGACTTTTTGAGTATATAACAAAACTTTAACGATTTTTTTTTAATGAAATAATTTTACAGCAATCATGAATATCAAATTTGAAAAGCATTGCATAATGGTAAAACCGTTTGATGAAAAAACGTGAAATTTTCAATATGGTACGGAACTTGAAGATTTGGAAATTACGTGCGAAACCAAAATCTTTGTTACAAATACAAATGCAAATTATTAGGTGTACAACTTTGCTTCCGCCGTTTTTTTTTTTCCAAAATTAAAAGCTTTATTGCGAAAAAGTGCTTACAGATGTATTATTCAAAGTATTGTCCTTCGCTAGCGACAACTTTCTCCTATCTTTCCGGCAATTTTCGGATCCCGGCTCGGAAAAAGGGGTCCTCTTTTGACGCTATCCATGAAGCAATCCATTTTTCCAATTCTTCGAAGGATTGAAGATGTTGATCTGCCAGGCCGTGTGCCATCGAACGGATTAGGTGGAAGTCAGAAGGGGCGACATCTGGGGAATACAGCGGGTGGGGCAAGACTTCCCATTTCAGCGTTTCCAGGTACTTTTTGACCACTTTTGCGACGTGAGGCCGAGCATTGCCGGGATGGAGGATGACTTTGTCATGTCGCTCTTGATATTGTGCCCGCTTTTCTTTTAGCTCGCGACTAAGGCGCATCAGTTGCGTTTGGTAGCGATCTCCTGTGATGGTTTCACCCGGTTTTCAGAGCGAATTGTTCATCTTTGAAGGTTTTTTCTCTTCCACCACCATGTTTGTCTTCGGGATCGAAATCACAATTTTTAAAACGAGACCACTCCCGACACGTTATTTCACTCAGAGCAGCATCACCGTAAGTTTCTGAGAGCATTCGATGCGCTTCAGCTGCATTTTTTTCGAATTGTAACAGAAAAGTAAAACTTCCCGCAAATGGCGAGAATTGGGACAAAAACGGGCATTTTCCAGCGTGAATAATACGAAAACAAGAACAACTGTCACTGAAACGGAGATGACAATTCGTTAGGCATTGTCCACACTCACTTTAAAGACATTATCATCTATGTAGTTCAATCAGCCTCAGCCGGTAGAGCCACATATCGGAAACGGCGGAAGCAAAGTTGTACACCTAATAGTATTCTTTAAAATCATAAATTTCACTTTTTTGCGGATTCCAAATTAATAATATGGAAATTTTATTTGTTGTATTTCATAATATATAACAATCTTTTATCAACATTTTTACTCGAATTATTCAAGTCGGCAACATTTCAGTTTATCACATGCATACCAGAAGCGGAAGCGTAATGTGTTTTTGCTGGGCCTCCGTATAAAACTTTGTTTGGGTGCAATAAGGAAGCGTAACAATTTCTCACAAATTAAAAAAAAGCATAAATATTAAAGAAATATTTATTGTTCATAATTATCTATTTTTCACTTTTTCCAAAATTTTATAAACTATTTGAATTAAATATAGAATCTTTTTTCGGCAAACTTATTTATTAAATTATTTATAGCTGGTGATGACATTAATTTTTCAAAAATTTCTTTTGAACGCAATTGCCCTGCTGGGAAAAAATTGCTTTTTTATCCTTATTATACGTTATTGGACATTTTTGTTAATTTATCTCACACCCGTTGGGGGTAAGGTGGCCAGGAACCCCGTATAATTGATGTGATAGATACGGCGATAGCTTCGCCACTGATTTACACTCATTCACTTGTTTGTTATATATCTACAACAGTTAATGAGAAGAAATAATAATGAAACAGAATTATACTCATTTGTTGCAGATGTTCACACATTTTCATAAATTTTTGCTCATTGTAGTAATTTTACACTCTTTGTTGCAGATTTCCAATCATGGGAATAAATTTACACTTGGATGAGTAGATCATCGAATCTACTACAATGAGTGTAAAATTACTCTAATTGTAAGAATTCTATCCACGCTTATATAAGTGTAAATCTACTCCAAGGATTGTGAATTCACGTATATACAGGGTGGCTGATATGTAATGCAACAAAGTAAAGCGCTATAACTTTGTCATTTTCATTTTAAATTTCATTGTTCAAAAGCAAAAATGTCGGAAATAACGTTAAATTTTAGAATCAGTTTATATTTGTTCTAATTGGCCACCTTTGGCACGAATTATGGCCTTCAAACGGCAGAAAAACCATGACACGCTGCACGAAAGTGGCTCTGTGGTATTTTGGCCCATTCCTGGCGAGGCGCCTGCTTAGGATGATTGACACTTTGGTATTTTTTAGTGTGAACCTTACTCTTCAAAATTTCCAAGACACAAAAGTCCAGCGAATTTAGATCCAGAGATTTTGGTGGTTATTGTGCGATGGAAATGAAGCGAAAAAACTCTTTTACAGGCCATTTTTGGTAGACGCGTACTGAGTTTGATGGTGCTGAGTCCTGTTAGAATGTCCATGGTCTGCGACCGAAATTTTTGTCTATCCAGGACTTCAATACTACCTTTAAGACATTTTCCCGATAATTTCGGCAATTATTTTGATCCCACGGTCGATGAATAAGAGCGGAATGTCATCATCGGCCGTTACGATGGTTCACACCAGTACCGTCAGCGGCGCTTGAGTTCTGGTGGCCAATCAAAGATGTAAATTTTTAGCTGACCCTTTTGGCAAGTAAACCCTATCATTTTGTTTGTTCACAAACTGCTCGATTTGGAAGGACTTCCCATCTGAGCAAACCAAATTCGGTAACTAGCCACTTTCGTGCAAGCAAAGCAACCCCTTGGCTCCTTCCCGTCTAACTTTGTTTTGTGCATCGATGAGCTCTTGCACTTTTTGGAACTTTAATGGCTTTAGTCCAAGCTCATTTTTCAATTTGTGTTGCATCCGTTTTTGCGATATGTTCAGCTCACGGGCCGTTTTTTTACCACTGCGACACGAATTTCGCTCGATTTTTGCCTATACTTTTTGGATCATTTCTGGGGTTGTTAGTGTTTTTTTTCGTCTACTTTTTGGACGCGGTGCAACATTGAGTGTATCACGGTTACGAGATATGGTACGAGAAACAAAATATTTGTTCACATTTAAATGCTGGAGGGCTCTAAATATAGCCATTTAAGGTTTTCCAGCCAAGTATGAAGCAATCGCACTATCACGCTTGACTTCCATCACGAATAACTTTTTTTCTGAATGCAATAGATCAAAATGCTTTTGTACGCTTGTAAACAATTAAATGAACAATCACTGGAATAAATCTGTCATCTGTCTGATGAGCGGTTTAGAAATTATAGCGGTCTGAAATTGGTTGCAATACATATCAGCCACCCTGTATAGTGTGAATCTACTACAATGAGCGTAAAATTACTATAATGAATATAAATCTTCTCCAAGAATTGTAAATATTCGTATATGTGAGAGTGAATCTACTGCAATGAGCGTAAATCTACTATACTATGAGCATAAATCTATTCCAGGATTGAAAATTCGCGCATATATAGTGTAAATCTACTGCAATGAGCTATCTGCTATAAAGAGCATAAATGTACTCCAAGAGCGTAAATCTACTCCAAGGATTGTGAATTCGCGCACTATAATGAATATAAATATTCTCCAAGAATTGTAAATACTCGTATATGTGAGAGTGAATCGACTACAATGAGCGTAAATCTGCTATAAAGAACATAAATGTATTCCAAGGATTGTGAATCCACGCATATACAATGTAAAACTACTACAATGAGCGTAAAATCACTATAAGTATAAGGCTTCTCCAAGGATTGTAAATTTTTGTGTATATGAGAGTGAATCTACTAGAATAAGCGTAAATCTACTATACTATGAGTATAAATCTTCAAGAATTGTGAGTTCGTGCGTATATGAGTGTAAATCTGCTCCAATGATTGTGAATTCTACTATAATGAGTTTGTCTTACACTCGTTGGAGTAGATTTATACTTATTATAGTAGATTAACGTTCATTGTAGTAATTTTAAATTCGTAGTAAATTGAAACTCGTT